TCCTTCTGATTCAGTATACTCATATTAGCAGATTGATCATCTTGATGAAGGTCTTGCATCTGCAACGTTGCAGTCGTGCCTGCTTTGACCTGCTTACTATCTGCTATTTTGTGGTTTTATATATGCGTTCTATACAACTGAACAATATATGGAAGATTACACAAAGCAAATGCTAATATGTATATATAATAGGATTTACGTTGGGTAGTCCTCTGTATATTGTTCAAAGACTCTGAGGTCCTCCTTAGACAAAGTTTTGGCTATGCATGTAACTCGAGCACTAGTTAATTCAGCTCCTGTACTAGCTGATTTAAAAGAAGTAGTCAGGTTGCTAGTTAGAATATCAAAATCTGATGCAATTGTGGTATTGTACAAAATACAGGTTAATATGTAGAGACATGGATAAATCAAGTGGATGCAATTAAAGCCTAGAGAGCCTGCTCTCTGTCCATAGTCTAGTATAAATTGTATCTCTAGTCTTTAAGAGCCATGATCTCATAACTGATAAGGTACTTCCTGCATAGTGACATCTAATGACACATCAGAGTGTTTCTAAATATACTTGATCATTAATATTCCATAATTTTTTGTTTGAAACCAGCTCTCAAATGGTCCAGCAGAACATCTAGTGGGTGGATCAATATCATACAGACATTGAACCTACTACTACTGCAAAGTCTGACTGTCTGTCTATCCATCATCATAGTTTCAAAGTGTCTTGGAGTTGAAGGGCCAAAGCTGATATGGGCTCCTTGTCCAACCATGCCCCATTACAACTCTGGTGTCCCACTTCTTTGGCAGAGACAGTATCCCTAAATGTGTAGTCCAAGTTTGGTTTATTTGACACATGTGTAAGTGCTACAGCTTCACATGCAAATGTGGTTATCTGATTGTCAGGCTACGTGTGTTAGCTTGGTACACATGAATATCAACATGACATTAATACATGCAGAAATCAGATGTCAAACACATGGTAATCCCTGCCTTGTAGCCATACCTCCCCTGCATTGCAGACTGCTGAATCAGCACTTTCAAATACTATATTTTTTTCAGTAATATTTTAATATGAATAGCTTCTGTTTTTATTTTACACAATGTAACATAATAAGATGAGCTAAATTATAAGCACTACAGGAAAGGGGGCAGGTACAAAATAGTACAATAGTCAATTAATAGTCGTTGTATTTAACATAAAGAGTACAACTGTAATGAATATCATAGTTTAACAAATGCAGACATTCTACAGTTTTCTATTGCAATAATAAACATATTAGTACTGCAAATAAATAGCGGCTTATAGGCACTGAACATTATGTATTTAGAATAATGTATTTTTCTGTTGTGCCAGTAAACAAGCACGCTGGAGTTTCTTGTAATTTGCACTGATATATCCTGATTAGCTTGGTGAATACTGATATTTCTGTACTGAAAGTTTGATGACAGGTGTTGGGAACAAATGAACATTGCGCTGTCCATCATCCGTTATGAATTGCTCAGTTAGTTAAGTGATTTACATAAATAATGACAGGCGTTAGGGTGTCATTAAACACAATTATAGTAAATTGCCATTAAAGATATGTAACAACTAGCACCACTTACCGCGTGCTTAATTAAATGCAAAAATGAATCAGCATAGAAAAGTCTTTTGTTTAACATGGAAGTCGTATAAAGTTTTTCTGGTTAACTGTAGAGCCTCATACACAAACACTAATGAGGATAAGTGACATTCATAGTGACTGTGAATTGTTCCATTATTGGCTTATATCCCCTATTATGAGTTAACAGCATGGAGGAATTTGAACCAGTTTTGCAGGGCAAATTAGATAGTTTTAGATAGATATGCCATATGCAATGTTTCCCAATATTGTATATGTATAACTAACTTTGGCGACTTTCTCTTTGTTTTAAGAATCCCTACCAACTTGGGAGATTGGGGTTATTTTTAATTAGTTGAGACCAAGGATTTTGACATTTTCTTATCCTATTAAAAGAAGGGTTAGGTGATTTTTAATATTGGACAAAGGGCCAATCTTTAACTTTATGGCTATTAGGATTGGGGGATTTGTTGTTCCCCGAACCATTTAATACTTGGTTAATGGGCTATATAACACCCTAGCCCCCAGCGATCTGTTACTAACACATCACCCTCCAGAAGGTGGAGGAAAAGGTAGAGGATTTGCCAGGCCCCTACACAGTAAAAACAGCGCTATATGAACCATAACCACTGTAAGGGTCCTCTAAGCACCATAACCACTACAACTTACTGAAATGGTTATGGTTCCAACATGCACCTAGCGCCATCCCCCAGTTATTTGTTTAATCACTTACCAAAATATTAACGAAAAACCCAGAAACAAGCTATGGTAAATTGAGCCCTCTGGGTTTTCAACTTCCATTGAACCTCATTTACATATGTTTGGTGTAGATAGAATTTCAGGTTAAAGTTTGTATACTAGGTAGACTTTTTAATAAATATTATTTAATTTAAAATATATATATATTTGTTCTGATTTAAAAGTAAGCAATTTCGGTCCCTTCCAACTGAGAGCATTTCCTTTTTGTTTGTTCTAAAATTTCTGCTGTATTTAAATCCATGACCATGTTTCTCTTCAGTAGCTTTCTATTATAAAAAAGCTGACATTTGAACCAAAACACCCACAAACCCCTTTTGATCCCTTAAAGCTCTTCATTAGGGATACGATAAACAGTGCCAGTGGAAGTTAATTGAGTAGCCGTCACTGGTTTGGTGAGAGTTCATGTCAGATGCTGCACAGTGTGGGGGTTGGTAGCAAATGCAGGAACTGTCTTCAACTAGTAGTATCAATCTTTTATAACTTTTAATTAATTAATTAACTAACATATTTTAAAGCAGATTTAGTATACCATGTAAAAGTGAATGGTTTGAATCAATGCCAGATTGTCCTTTTGCCCCATTTAAGGTTTATGTAAAAAAAAAGTAGTTTACCTGTCCCTGCATGTTTAACTACCACCTACCCATAACAGTCAAACCAATAAGGTGTTGTAAACTCTGTTAGTGTTAGTGTTAGCTGAGTGCTCACAGCCAATGAGCACGTCCTTGCACTACCTGACTTAGCCCACTGAGCGTCAGGTAAGTTGTCAAACCAATCTTTGACAGTCTGACTACTTAAATTGGGAGAGCAGCAGGGCACTCCTGGTAGTGAGCAGCAGTGATTATTGTGTATAAAATTAATACACACAGGAGGACATATACATATATATTAAAAATAATCCCTCAAATGAGTGTTTTAACAATACTGCATTGTTAGCCATAGAGTACCATACTGACAGTCAAAAAAGCCCGGCAATGTGATTCTAGAGAGTAATCTAGATTTCCATTGTGGCACAAGCCTGTTTTGTTTGTAGGGATTTCCTGATAGTCTGGAGCATCACCCAAGACAAATCTTATCACCTGAAAAGAAATGCTATTCAGCATTAATCTCCCAAAGCAGGCCTTCCTCTCATGACCATATATCGTGCTTTGAGTTATACATTCCCCTGAGACTGTACCTGTTATCACCAGCGAGTACATGGAATAAAAATGCACTGTGTTTTCATGAAAGCGTCTGGTGACTTCTCAGCTGTTTATGTATACACGCCAGCACACACACTTTCACAGCTTACTGCCCCTTTCATCCTTAGCCAGTGCTCCACAGAAAGAAAAAAAAAAATCACTGTGCTAAGGGACGGATTTATCAAGACACAAACAGGAGCTACTCTCGGGCACAGAGTTAAAAAAACCCCCAATTTTTATTACAATTATTATTTAATACAATTCCTCTTACATTTTTGCATTAAGCCACAAAACAGCATCTGCTTTTGCAGGAAATATGTATAAATCCATTTGTGTAACAACAATATTTCGTTCTATATGGCTACTAATTTGCATAAATTGTTAAACAGATGAATTCCAACATCTAATAAAATATTGATAGTGCCCACCCACCTGTCATGGCTCCAACAACGTTCCCTAAAACAAGAGAGTGTCCCTCTAGGGACATTTACTGTTTTCAGAGAAATAAATTTCCCCTATTTGCATTTCTTCCAACATTTCAAATGGACAAAGATGGACACTTCAATGTTCTGAGAAATTTTGGGTAACTTACTAATAATTAATGCGACTAAAAGGTCATTTAGAACAAGAACAATTACACAGACTGATTTCTAAACACATTTATCGTAGTTTAAAGACACATTACTTTGAGTATTATTGCCGTGGAGCTCTGTTGTAAATTACTGAGCTCCTAGAAAAGATGAACATTAGGATATAGAAGAGGTCAGAGGGACTGCACCTCCTAAATAGGGACACTTGGGATATATGGACCTATGTTCTTAAAACAAAGCAATAATTATAGGGGTTGCTTGGACAAATAAATAGTACATAGATGTTTCTTTTCACAATTTTATTTTAGCTATCTGTATGCCTCTTCTTCTTATAATGAGATTTATTGTTCTACTGATGAATAATTCCACAGTTCTATCTTCCATGAGAAAATATGAAGGCATAGTTATTCCCCTTGTTATTTTCTTACCTGGAAATAACTGGGATTGTTTAAAAATAGAATGTTTTCACAGTGTCAGGTAATGCAGATGGGTGTGATTAATAACCTCTGTGTCATTGGTTTAATAATCTAATAATGTGCGTGCATGCTCAGCTTACACACGGACTTACCAACGCTCACATTTCCCGACTGAAAAACCTAGCTTCAGTAAAAGCAGCGGGAGATAATATTCAGTACTTTAGCTTTAGGGATCACTGTCAGATCAGAAGTAAAGATAAGAAACAATGGCTGCCATCCAAGAGAGAGGATGGAAAGAGCTTACAGCTTCTATCTAATTTCTCTTGGGTGGAACTGTTTTTTTTTTTGTTTTTTGTTTTTTTTATTTCTTTAATTTATTTATTCATAAACTACAAGAAAGGTGCCATGGTGTCAAATATACTGAAATAAATACTGCACTGTGCTTTTTAAGTTTATGGACCAAAGGCAGTTGCCTAGTTCAGATAAGCATAAGATGATGTTACTAATATGTCAATAAAGATGGAACTGGAAGGTTAAAATACATATTATTTATTGACATATTAGTAACATCATCTTATACTTTTCTGAACTAGGCAACTGCCTATGGACCATGGAAGAAAGGGCTATTGGGAGTATTTATTTATTTATTACTGGGATTTATAAAGCACCAACATATTCCGCAGCATTGTACAATTGGGAAAGACAACACAATAAGGACAGACCGATACAACAGGTAGAGGTCCCTGCCCGTGAGCTTACAATCTAAAGATTATACTGGGGAGATGAGACAAGAGGTAGCAGAGGAATTTGTATGAGATGGCAGAGAGAGTTAATAGTATAACTGCAGCAGCTGATAGCATGTGAAGGGAATGAGAAGTTGATTTTCTGCGGTTCCAAGCAGCTGGAACAGCATCCTATATAGTTAGAAGGAACCAGGGTGGGTGGGTAGAGCTGAGTAAAATTACATTTGGGAGCTCAAAGCCCATAGTCTAGGAAAAAAAAAACCCTCAAACTTATTCAATTAGTCCCTACCTCCTCGCTTCACTCTAATAAGCTTAAAAAACACTTTAAAACAAAAAATGGATAATACTAATCTGTTAAAGTGAAAACGGATGTGTTTTTCTTTCTATTTCTTTAAAATCAGAACTTTGCTGAAAAAAACACAACAAAAAAATCCAATTCAAAAATGAAAATCTTAAGCTAGGCTTACCTGATATTACCTGTTGTTGTTTTTTTTAAGTTTATGGCACCCCTATATAATATGGAGGAGGTAGTTTGGGGCATATTTAACTTGGCAGGAGGGTGCATGTTTTTGAGGTTGCATTTGGAGGCGTTTCAACAACTCCATGTATGCACACCAAATCACTATATCACTGCAACTCTCTTGGTAAGGTGGGAAAATACATAAAAATACATCTTTTGGTGAAAACATGCCTAATGTTGAGGTTGGGCCAGATGGATTGAGCGCCGTCTGCTGTTTGTCATAAGGAGCAGGGGACTAGCATCACCTGGTCTGATTAGAATTCAGAAAATGCCCTAGCATGGTGATTATATTAAGTTCCACCCCACCAGCCACATGTTCTAGAAGGGTTATGGGTTGTTTGCAGGCCCCTACATCATATGTGTGTTTTTTCACATTTTTTGTATGTATTTTCCCATCCTAACAAAGGAATAGTAGTGATAAGGTGAATTCGGTGTACATACAAGGTCAGGCTATGCTAGATAACCTGACTGGCTTTGTAGGCCTATAAATTGGGTCCTTAAACCTTAAATTTGGTCTCGGTGGAGTAGAATTTATGACAAAAAATTGCTTTTTTTACACCCATAAAAATTCAATGCTATCTAGTGAACATCTAGGGTACTGCAGTTTATATGTATTTGATTAAGCAGTTTTACTCCATTTAGATGCTAGTAAATGTCATTTGGCTTTGCAGTTGAAAAACAAATTGATGGGCTCTAGTTAATCAACGCTTTTTGGTAGAAAAAAAAACACAGAAAGCAGGTATATTGAGAGAGAAAGTAAGAAAAAACGCTTAGGAGAGAAAGGAGGTGTTATTATTATTATTATTATTATGGTATTTATATAGCGCCATCAACTTCTGCAGCGCTTTACAATGGATGGACGAACAGACATGTAGTTCTAACCAGACAAGTTGGACACACAGTAACAGAGGGGTTGAGGGCCCTGCTCAATGAACTTACATGCTAGAGGGAGTGGAGTAAAATGACACAAAAAGGTAAGGATAGTATTAGACTAGTGACAGTTGCAGAAGAGGAATCAGTCAGGAGCTATTAACAGTTTAATTGATACGATTTTATGAAGAAGTGGGTTTTTAACGATTTTTTGAAGGAATGGAGACTGGGTGAGCATCTAACGGAGGAGGGAAGTGAGTTCCACAGGAACGGTGCAGCCCTCGAGAAATCTTGAAGACGAGCATGGTGGGAGTACAGACAAAAGATAGACGTAAGTCTTCAGCAGATCGTAAGGGCCTAGACGGGACATACTTGTGTATAAGGAAGGATAGATAGGGGGGAGCAGCATTATGTAGAGATTTGAAAGCAAGAACCAGAATTTTAAATTGAGCTCTATATTTTATAAGAAGTCAATGTAGGGACTGACAGAAGGGTGAGGCATGGGAGGTGCGGGCGGACAGGAAGATGAGCCTCGCTGCCGCATTCATCATGGACTGTAACGGTGCAAGTTGGGAGCACGTAAGACCACGTAAGCCCACTGAGAAGCGGATTACGGTAGTCAAGGTGAGAAAGGACAATGGAATGGACCAACACCTTAGTGGCATCTGGCATTAAGTAGGGGCGGATGCGCGCCATGTTTTTTTGAAAAAATTATAATTGAACAAAGTAATGGTTAACGCAAAAAAGGGGAAAAAAAGGAAAAATCTAAATTACATTTCTATGGGCTCTTGCAAATGACAGTCATACATTATATATTGGTGAAGAAACAAGGTAATAGGGTGTGCAAAAGGAAAGAGATAGAGGTCAAATGAACAATTTCTAGATAAAACAATCAATGGCAAAGAAAAAAAGTAAATGTACCCTATAAAAAACAGTAAAACAGGTACCCAAAAGGTAATAACAGTAGTCTCAAAATAAGGTCTTTGTGGTAGCTATACGTGAGAGTTCCTAAGTATCTAGTTAGGCTTTCCTCCTTTCTTAGGTTTGCTAGACACTAGGGTCTGTAGATATATAGAAAATAAACAATTTTTTAAAAAGGACTTCAATAGTGTAATAAGTCTAAAATAAAGTGCAAGGGTATAAAAGAATTTCAAATTTTCTACTCACATGCAGTAGAGCTAAGACCAGATCTAGTGTGATGTGCATGCAGTGGTTTTGATACCCCACTTATAGGATATCAATGGAAGGTGCAGTCAGCAAGTATCACAGCAGCAGGGTATACATAAAGCCAAAACAGAAAAATAAAAAGCAACATTAGTGCTCACTGTATAAAAATAATAGACTAGGAGTAGTAATAAGTAAAATGTACTCACAATTTCCTGAGTAGATAACCTGCTCAGTATATTCAGCGTAGGCGGTATAATCCCCACCTGGGATTCTTGATGAGATCTTCACTAGTACTTGATCTTTATACAAGAGGCTCAAAGCTATGTAGTATGGTATCCACTAGTACTGGTGTAGTCCTCAAGGGACAGACCTCCAGTGGATTCCAAAAAACACCTATGTGGACACTCCAGGGGTGTCCTGGGGCTTAACCCCCAAATAAACAGAAAAAAAGTTTCTAAGTTAATTCACTGGAAAACCAGTGCATTAAACTTATACTGGAAAAATACAATAGTCAATTAAATGTTAATAATAAATACCCTGATGTGTACAACAGAGTCTCTTTTCCAGATTAGAGAGTCATTCCAATGTGAGGAAAAAATGTGAAAACAGCCTGTTGGGCAAAACCTCCCTTATACTAATAAGTGACTGCAATATACTATAGACTGCTGACTTTATACTTGTTTGGTCAAAGTCAAATGGTAATACAAAGTATATGTATCAAATAAGTCACAGGAAGAAGTACCTAATTCCAAGCGCACTGCTTGTTAGTATCAAAATTGAATAACAATATAGTTGCAGTTTCTAACAAAGAGAGTATCTAAATGTCCATATGTAGCTAAATAGCTTGTAAGAGCCCTGTGCTCACTAAAATTGCTAAAATTGCAGTACCTATATGATGGAGCTAAGCTACTTCTTCCTGTGACTTATTTGATACATATACTTTGTATTACCATTTGACTTTGACCAAACAAGTATAAAGTCAGCAGTCTATAGTATATTGCAGTCACTTATTAGTATAAGGGAGGTTTTGCCCAACAGGCTGTTTTCACATTTTTTCCTCACATTGGAATGACTCTGTAATCTGGAAAAGAGACTCTGTTGTACACATCAGGGTATTTATTATTAACATTTAATTGACTATTGTATTTTTCCAGTATAAGTTTAATGCACTGGTTTTCCAGTGAATTAACTTAGAAACTTTTTTTTTATACAAGAGGCTGCCTTGATATTTGATTTATTTTCAAGACAACATGAAGACTCTCATAAACAACAAAGTTTCTCTATCGGCGTCGTACAACTGAGTTTGGTGATCATTTACAACCTGTCTGTTGTTTTAATGTTGTGCTGATCAGTGTAGATTGAAAACATATCTCATAGGAATAGATTGGTCTCATTGGTCGTATTTTTATTTCTTTTATACCCTTGCACTATATTTTAGACTTATTACACTATTGGAGTCCTTTTTTTTTATTATTTTTTTTTTTTATATATATATATCTACAGACCCCAAGCATCCTAGTGTTTAGCAAACCTAAGAAAGGAGAAAGCCTAACTAGACGCTTAGGAACTCTCACGTTTTTCTACCACAAAAACCTTATTTTGAGATTGCTACTATTACCTTTTGGGTACCTATTTTACTTTTTTGTAAGTTTCATTTACCTTGTGTTATTTACTTTTTTTCTTTGCCGTGATTGTTTTATCTAGAAATTGTTCATTTGACCTATATCTCTTACCTTTTGGCACACCCTATTTCCTTGTTTCTTTACCATTATTTAAGTTTTTTGGAGAGAATTTCCCTTTTTAGGTGTGCTGCCCTGTTATTTAGCGCTGCCCCATTTTTTCTTTTAGTATACATTATATATCACCTAAAAAAAAAAATACCATAAAACTTGGCCTCTCAAAACTTGTCAGTGCTGGAGGTTTCCTCAGTGATGAGTTCAAGTGAACCACTTATCATAAAAAAGTCAGTTTCTAACTTATCACAGTTTTTGCCAGAAATGGGGCTATTGTTGTTTTTAAGGTACATTTCAAGCACTATATCCATTAAGGTGATGTCAATACTGTGGCAGGAGTTAATCGGGGTCATCCCAATGCAAGCTATCAAACCATTTAAGAATGGTTTGACACTTACCTTGCTTTCTTGGGTGCCCACGGTCCTCCTTGTCTGCCTTGCTATGCTAAAGTGAAAGTTCATATTTTTTTTTTAGCCTGCCATCTTTTCATATTATTCACTGGCTAAATGGTGCTCTCAGTCAATGGGTGGTATACCTTTGTAGTGTGGACCTCTGAGCTAGCATAGCAAGG